CCACTCAAGTGAACAAGGCCTAAATGAGAAAAAAAAATATCTTCATCATTATAAAGTTGAATATTGAAGTGTATATATTCTCAAATTTAATAAAACCAAATTGATTTAACAATATTTACAATTTAATTTTTCTTTTGTAAATATTGTTTCTATTCTTCTACTTTTTTTTAAAAAAAAATTATAAAGGCTTTTATAAAATTAAAATAAGAGTTATGTATTATGATATGTTAAGCATTTCATATAATCAAAATATAATATATCGTATAAATAGATTATTAATAACAATGGTTTCATTTGAATATACATAAAAAAAACAATACATTAAACACAAATAGAAATAGCAAAAACAAAACACATGATCTTAACCACATTTCTCAACTTCCCATTTCAAAATTCAATTTTTTTTTATCTGTGTAAGTAGTTTTTAACATAAAAACACTATTATTGTTTTAAATCAGTACATGTTACATCCTCTCTTGTTACCAGATGTACAATCTCAAAATCTTTCTCTTTATTTTCCCAAAACATTTTATTTTTATTCTAAAACCCTAGTTGCATGTTAAAAAAAAAAACGAAACCCTACCACTCTTATGTTTTAATCCTTTAGTACATCCCTATTTATGTACGAATGTCTCAATTGGGTCCTCGTTTTTTAAAGTGTATCAAAATGGTCCTTAATTTTGAAAATTCATATCAATTGAGTCCTTTCCGTTAAGTTGGCTGGACGGTGTTAAAAAAATTCATGAGTGGATGCTGAGATGACGAACGAACGCTCGTCCTCTCAGCATTCACTCATCAATTTTTTTAACGCCGTCCAGCCAACTTAACGGAAAGGACTCAATTGATATGAATTTTCAAAATTAAGGACCATTTTGATACAAAACGAGGACCCAATTGAGACATTCGTACATAAATAGGGATGTACTAAAGGATTAAACCTTTCTTTTACTCTCACATTGTCTCTTTTTTGTTACTTCGTCTTATCCTATTCTCTTCTACCCTGTCTCGATCTTGTGAGGTTTGCATGGAAGTCTCCATCTCTATTTTTCTTTTTTTTTTGTTTCGATTATTTAGTGATTGAAATGTTTTTTTCTTTAAACATTGACTTTTTTTTTTTGGTTTTCATTTAAGATTGTTTAGATTGTGTGACATTTTTGTCTTGGTTTCTTGTAATGATTTCTTTTTATTCCTAATTTTCTGTTTTTGATTTGTAATTGTTTTAGTTTTTGTCCCTCTTTTTTTAGGTTTGAGTATTTTACAGTTCTTTATTTTTTTTATTTTCGTCTTTTTTTTTATTTTCATTTCAGTTTCTGTTTTTATAGCTTTGAGTTCATTGGTTATATTGTCTAATTAGTTTTATTTCTGCCGTATGTGTGGTTTTTTCTGCCGTATATATTGTCTAATTAGTTTTATTTGCTACTAAATGTTGGTTCTAAGATTTTTTTTGAAGTCATTTTAATTTGTATCCATTTTTCATTATGATTTATTTTCATGTGTATTGTTTTCTTTTCAATTACAAAAATGAATGGTATACAATCCTAGCATATTTGGTTATTCTGTTTTTCAAAAATTAAATAATTATTTAAAATCATACCAGACGTATGACCTTAGTTATTTGTAGAATCGTTGTCATAAAAGTTTTTTAATTTGATTATTTTTATAATCACTGTCCTAGGTTTAATTTGAATTAAAATAATTATTTAATTTAAGGATTTTTGTTTCAGTTGCGAAATCGAATCGCGAATTCCTCGCATCTTTGAGCAATGTCGTTGTGAACCTTCTTCATTCTCCACCAACCACCATCAACCTGAAACACAAAAGATCAAAACTCACAGAACCAGAAATCTCCTTCAAACCAGAAGCGCGATTCACGCTGCAACGATGAAGAGCCACCAACATCATCACCAACTTCTCTAGAGCAAAACTCAAATCACAGAAACGCAAAGCCGAATCAACGCAATCATCTTCAACTGTTGAACCAACGCCTCTCTACAAGCTTCTCCACCACACTAGAGCAAGCTTTCCCCCAATTTGTAGATGCAAATATGAAACCCTAATTTTTGGGTGAAGAAAGGGGTTGTCACATGTCAAGCCCTTATTGGCGTGACCATCCTTAGTCAACTATAGTCCTACCCACGTCAGCTAATAATTGTGTAATTTACTGATTGGTGATGTGTCGTTAACGATTTAAACGTCGTTAGCTAAAATGACAAAATTGAACATAAATTACAATATAAGGGACTACATTGAACATTCAAACATAATGAATTCCACATCAAACAAAGCTAACGAAAATAGGAACCAAAATTTGTATCCAATTTACCAATTCACATTCTGTTTTATTTGACTTTTTATTTACATTTTTAAAGAGAAAAAAAATTATTAGATGATGTTAATCCTATGAAGGACATATTTAGTCTATATGACCTAGTTTTTTTTGGTAAACTAAAAAAAGTCAATTACATATCAATAAAAATTTAGTAGAAACCATAAATAATTAGTGATTCTAAACTTCCTAATAATTTTCTTAGAAAGAGTTACTAAAAGCTAAAGGCAAATAAAAAAACTTGGCCAATAAAACTTAGTTAATCCTTAAAAATTTAAGACAAAGATAAATATAAATCACATAGATGGAAGAGAAGGATGGGAGATAAAAAAACGTAAAATAAGAAAGAGAAAATAATATATAAGGGATATGTAGTAAAAGATATAAAAGAAGAAAGAAAATCTGGAAAGAGAAAAAAAAAGAAAAAATAATAAATGTGAGAAATGATTCAATGAAAAGAAAAGGTTAAACCCTCTCGAAAGTCCCTATTAATGTGGGTTTTTGCCAGTTAGATCCCATTTTACCGATTTTGCCAATTTAATTCTAAAAAATTAAAATTTGAGTCAATTGGGTCCTTGTCGTTAAATTGACTTAATGAGGTTAAGTTTTTTACGAGTTAAGACGTTGACGTGACCTATTTTTTTAAACGTGGCATTCTCTATCCTGTATACGTGGAATATATAATTAAAAAGAATCTGAAAATTGAAACGCAAATTAGGACTCATCATCTTCAACCCTAATGTTCATCATGAAATTTGGTTTTCATGAAATTAAGCACCACAAGATTAGGGTTTAGTAAAATCAAATTAGGTTCAAGATTGGAGTTAAAGGCGTTAACGACATCTCCCGAAAATAATTCATCTTCAGTTCACCATCGTCGTTTTCTTGTAAAGCAATGTGAGGGGTTTGGGGGTGTCGAGGTCGATTATTTGGGGTTTGGAGTCGAATTCGAAAAGGGGTAATTGAATTTGAGGGTGGAGAAGCTCAGTGAGGTAGTGATCGAAGGAGAGGCAAGAATCAGAGGAAGAAGATTTAGAAGGGCTTTGATTCGTTTGATTAAATTGGAAAGAAGGCTGTTTATTTTGGGGAGTGGTGAGGGGAGAGAGTTCACCTAAAAGATATAACTTGATGTGACTCAAAGCTGAAACTTCAACTGCGTTGGCAATGCTTGATCGAATTGGTTCGATGAAGTGGATTTGGGGTTCCTTACGATTAAAGATGGTGGCGTTTCGTATGTTCCATGGAGATTCGAAAGTCTCACCTTTTGTGTCCAACGCGATTTAGGGTTCGTGGCTAATTTGGGGGTTTTCAAATTTGTGATTCTGTTTTCTCTTTACAGGTTTTAAATAGTTTAAGGGAGAAGAAAATATATGATAATGAATTCGGTTGTGGCGCGAAGAGCTTGAGCGATGGTTACATTGGCCATGGTGGCGATTTGCCCTCGCGGTGCTGGATGGAAGGAGATGAATTAAAGCGAATATGGCGGAGTCACGATTTTGATTTTGTGGTTACTTGATTGCAGGTTGATGGTGCACGAGGAAGATGATGATGGTTCTAAGGCGCAATTGGGTTCTCTGATGATGGTTCGTTGTGTAATGTGCAGGAATGAAAGTTATTGCTGAATTAAGGGTCTGGATGATGGACAGGAAGAGGATTTCTGGGTGGTGGTTCACTTTAATGGAAGATGATTTTTTTTTTAAATTTTTTAATCAAAATGTTAAAATGTTTTTAAATTCTACGTAGAGCTCTGTGAATGACATGTTTAAAAAACTTGTCACGTCAATCTTTCACTTCATCAAAAACATAACCTCGCCAATTTAATGGTAGAGACCCAATTGACTTAAATTAACATTTTTTAAGACTAAATTGAAAATTCTAATAAAACAGGAATCTAAATGAGAAAAATTCACATAAACTAAAAATAGGATAAGAGAGACCCAATTTAGAATTTGGATTGTATAAACTTCTTCAAACTGCATTGGATTTTGATATATTAAAAAGAGTTTTAATATATTTTTGGTTAGAAATTTAAAGATGAGTAAAAAATATTACATTGAATAAAAGAAAAGAGTGTTATAAAAGAAAAATAAAGATTCATAGTCATTCAATTTTAAAATTTTATATGAAAAGTAGAATCAAATTTTTATATGAATAACTCATTCATTCCAAAGGTAAAAAATATCTTTGGTAAGAATTAAATATATTTATAATTTCTAAATTTAGATATAAAATTTGAAATTTATCTTTATCTTGATTTTTTTTTAAAATTTAAAAATTAAAAATTGATGTATATAATCTTTTTAATTTAAAGACGTTAAATTCTTTTACGTTTAAAAAATATTTCATACATACATTTAATTAAAATTTGTTAAATGATAAAAATAACTCAAATATCAACATTATTTAATGAATAAAAAAATTTAACTTAATTGGAATATAATATAATAAATATATCTGTTATTTTAAAATTTGGAAACTAAATATATTAAAATTTGGACGAGTTTTAATTTTGCATAAAAATTATAAAATTAAAAAATATATTTAATTCTTTCAAAATTTTCAACAATTCTATAATATATATATATATATATATATATATATATATATATATATATATATATATATATAAGAGTCCTTTATGGTAAGAGAACGTGTATGGAGTATCATTTAGCAAAAGTTGATGAAGAAAAACATGAGATAGATATGATGATGAGCTTGGGACATGTTACATGAAAGATAGTATTGATCGAGAAAGGAAGGTATTATTTGTTATTGGATGGTCGGATGCAAAGCAATATAGATATGGAGATGGATGTCACTGGCCAGCAGCAAAAGCTTCAACAGGGAAAGTCTTGGTGATACCAGCGAGACTCTTGAAGTGGATCTTCCCTGTCGGAGGGTCATCCACTGTGATCTCACTCACAGGAGGCCATAGCATAAGCTCTTTCGCTTTCACACCCTTCAGCTTCTTTATCTTCTTCTTCGAAACGTACCCTGTTATCTCACTGTCATAGCTCACCAACTTCTTTATCTTCTTGAACTCGTGCTCAACCTTCTTCTTCTGCACGATCCACATGTATCCCGTGCCCTTCACGTGCCCTACTTCGATCACATCTTCCAGAGGCAGAAGCCCCTCTGGAAGCTCGAACTCTTGCAGCAGTGAAGCAGCAAGTTTCAGACCCTCCTCGTGCCCCTTCTTTACAACCCCTCCTTCCTTTTCTGCCATTATCACAGACCCTTTTTCTTCCTTTGCTTTCGGATTCTCAGAGATACAGAGACTGTTTTCGATGTTTGTGTATATATATAGATTCTGCTTGTGGGGACAACCTTTGTGCTTTGTGGAGATCGAAGTGGATTTCTTTGTATCTGCCGTCTCATGGTGTTTTCCCTTGTCTCTTGCACTTGTTTTGTAGAATATTTGTGGGATGTGGTGTGGTTTTCTAGAAATAGTGTCCGTGGTCTGAACAACCAATGCAGACCAAGTTGTTCTTGGCAGATATTTAGGAAGAAAATTGTCCTAATTAGTTTAGATAATATCCGCATCATGTATTGTAAATTAGGGATATTTATATGTTATAGGATGATTGATTATATGTAGTTAGATAATACCTGCGTGAACATGACAAGGGTTATCATATGTTTAAGAATATAAAGAAAAATAATACTTAAGAGTCACGTAAATTTCTTACATTCATTTAATATTATTTTCTTATTTTTAACTTTTTCTTTTTAAAAATATAAAAGAGTTTATTTTTTTATAACTATTTTAGTTACGTGTGTAAAATAAATATAAAAACGTTACTCTATGTAACATCCCAAAAATACAGATAAACTATATGATAGAATGATTACATTTAATAATAATTCAGATCAGTCTTAAAATTAAAAAGGGCGTGGCCGAACGGCCTTACATAAAGAGTTACAATTAAACTATGCAGCAGTACAAGTCTGACCGAACGGTTTACAAAAGGAATTACTGAACGGTCAAATATAATCAAAAGAGAAGGTGATCAACGACCACCTTACTACGAAAACTAAACCGAACATTCTATTGTTCGGTCTTAACTTCTACTTCTACCAAATTTTCTTCTTCCAGCGCCTCTTCCAGCAGCTCGTCTCCTTCTGCTCACATCCACACGAATGATCATTGCAACGACAAGGACGGACGTACAAAACCAGACAACACAGGAAATGCAGGGTAAACTTATGTAATTTAATTCAAGTATATTTCACATATTCAAACACATCAAATACATTTCAACATACGATTCAAGCAAGGCCTACTACTAGACTGACTATCCGGACTGTATGAATTTTGTGTAGCTACGACGTTCGTGCACCCGGGTGATGTAGTAACTGGAATACTCTCATCAGCTGCCACCCGAGGTTAGTCCTATCTGTCCAAAGTACCCCTAAGGACTAGGACCTCCTACCGTTCCCACACATGACCTACCCTCCTCTACGTGAGGACGAGTACTCACGGAACATCAGGATGAACCGCCAGCTAAGCATTACCACATTCATACTTTACAAATTTCAATATTCATTCATGAGTCGTTCCTCCCCGGAACGCTCGTTCAAAATCCACAACATCTCATCCATCTCATATACTCTTCATCTTTTATTATCCATCATTTTAATTTCATCTTTATCACCAATTCTAATAACATCAAATACTGATCGTTCATTCCTCACTCAGAACGAGGATGAACACTAGGAACGAGACTGAGAAGTCTCCCGTTCCAGAATAGAATAAGACCGATAGGGTTACTGTTAGATTTAGGAATAAACCGAATACAATTATGTAATATATGACGAACGTTACTTACAACATGAATCAGTTAAATGAACTGACTCTCGTGAGTTCAAATCAACACTCAAAGAATATATCAAGTAAGAAGGCTCTAGGCCGGAGACAATGAATGTAAACACGTCAAGACGTTAAAAAACCATACTTAGAATAATTCATATATAGAAACCCAATGCCAGTTCAGAATCCTAAACTGATCGGTTCAAATGATCGTTCTCTACGCCGGAAGAGTAGAACTGATGCCTGAAGGTTGATCGGAGAAGAGAAGAGGTGAGAATTTGTGGAGAGAAGGGAAAACGTTTTAGAGAGAAGGAAGAGAATTGTAAAGTCAGAGTTTGAGAGGAGGGTGCATGCAGAAGAGAGTGGGACGGAAGTTTCAGAAAATCATTTTCTTCTTCCCACGTCAAAACGAGTGTCCGCTCTTCTGCTGACACCTGCATCCCACTATCTGATTTCTGATCCTCGTTGTTTGACACTTGACGTCCGTTCAGAGGGGTTTTGGGTGCGTTTTAATGATTCTGACAGGAGGGTTTTGGGTGCGTTTAACGAGGTCTGACACTCTATTATTACTCTTTTATAAATTTATCTTAGAATTTTTTTATTAATTTTTTATTGAATAATTTATTTTGTTTTAATTAAATATATTAATTTATTATTTTATTGTTAAACGGAGTTGTGAACAACACGTGAAAAAAAAGGCGTCAAATTATAATTTTTCATTTGATTATATACGTTATATATGATGATTCGTTATAAACAATGTATTTGTGGTGTGTAAATAATTACAGATGATAATACATTAGTATCTATCCTTTAAAATACCAACTCTCTTTATTAATATAATAATAATAATAATGAATTGATAAAAAACATTTAATGGTTTTTTTAAAGAGAATGTTAAAATACTTAGTTTTCTATAATTTATGTCACACACATATATTAAAATTTTTAAAACAAATCACAATCTGTTAATTTCACATATTAAAAGTATATAAAGGTTTCTTTATCACCCTTGAATAATTATAATGTTAATTCAAAAACTTCTCAAGCACATTATAGATAATCGATTCAACCGGTTAATCAGACTGAGTTTGATGATACTTACTAGCCACAGGGACGATAGAGAACATAAATTGTTTGCCATTAAATTATAACTTGTTACGTTTTGAAAATACATTACTTATCAATTCATTAGTACATTAAAAGAAAACGAAAGCGGTTATTTTTGCTTATAGGTAGCGGTTCTGCAATCGAGACATATACGTCCGTTTGGGGGGGGGGGGGCGAATGTCTATAATATTATAGACGTCCGCCCCCTCCCAGGACGGACGTTTTAGGGCTGACATGGGGAGTTGAAGCGTTGATTTTGTTCAGCCTCGTACACGTCCGTGCCCCTCCCACGGACGTCTATAATATTATAGACGTCCGTCCCCCACCACACCGGACGTCTAGAGTTTCACTTATTTACAAATATGTCACCGGTCAATTATTTACGTTGGGGCTTTTGTGAACGGACGTCTATGGGGGGACGTTAAAAGCAAATTCTGCACTAGTGGATGCAAGATTCACCCTCGCAGCTGGGCGCATCTCATACATCCAGTAAATATCCATGAGGAGGAAGAGGCAGAAGGGGACGACCGAGAGGAACAACTTCAGCAGGTTGCGGGTGACCGCGATCAGACCTTTGCGGAGGGCATCGAGGCCGGGGATCGTGAGGAGAATGACCATTATCCCTCTGCAGCAACAGCGTAGCCTAGCACAACCCACTCTAGCGCCATGAGATTAGATCTCAACTTCCGATGATGCTTCTTCTTGTTTCTTCTTTCTTCCTTTACAATTACAATGAAAGAGGTGCTTCTTCCACGGACAGACACGCAAATTAAGCGTTTTATAGCCCACCGTTTCGCATTTCCATTCAACTCCCAGCAGACACGTGCTTCACACGTCACACACCACCCTCCCCTAAGTAACCCACTTCTTCCCTGACCCGAAAATCACTAAGGTCTCAAGGGCACAGCGAAAGAACGACGACGGAGAAAGAACGACGAAAGAAGACAAGTGCCCCCTAGGAACCCTCTTGCTTGAGACAAAGAAAGGGGGAAGACTTGGGATATAAATTGAAATTACGCAAGCTTTTATGTCTCGGGTCACACTCTCAACTGAGGCAGTAGGTCTATTTTATGCCTCGGGTCACCTCTCAACCGAGGCACTAAGTCTCTTCCAGATAAGTGATCAGATGAAAAGTGAATTTTGAAAGTTATTATGCCTAGGTTGCTCTTATAACCAAAGCAATTGACCCTTTCAACTTCAGTTTCCAAAAAACCAAGACATATAAATTTACTATTATTACAAAAATGCTATTGCATTTTTATATGCTTTGATTTTTATAAAATCGAAGCATATATGGCACGTTAAAATGCAAATTCTTTTACTAATGATTATTACTTGCATTTCCTAACTAATCAATTCATATATATATATATATATATATATATATATATATATATATGAGATTTGTCTTTTTGACGTGTACATTGATTTTCCAAATTTATTCTTTAATTACTTTTTTTAAATTAAAATAATTATTTTATCAGTTTTATTATTTCTTTAAATTTAACCGCTTTTTTTAATTTAACAGTTCCTTTTAAATTTAATTTTAATTATAAAACTACTAATAAAATAAATAAAAACTATTTACAATAAATTTATAAAAATTATTTAAATTTCATAATAATAATAATAATAATTTTATTTTTATTAGCATAAGTGAAAACACATGGTAGAAAGTTGCAACAAGTTGCATACTTGTTACTTCCATCTCGAAATATATGGTCTCTTGGCTGTCCCCTCCAAGTGAAGCTTTTCTATAAACAAGTGAATGATGGCAAATCCAGTGAAGCTCTTGCAATAGACTTGTACTCTTCGAGTTTATCAAAAGCAGTTGAAGAGAGTTCCTGTTCACGCAAGCAAATATTTGGCATAAAATGGGGGCACAGATATAAGATAACAGAAAGAGAAGGCTTTTGGAGCAAAACTGTAATATTCTAATGATCATCAAACTTCTCCTTATAACACGAATAATTCTGTTTTATGCACTTAAAGTCCACTTATGAGCTTTTGGTTGCAAAATAGCCACCTTAGCCATCAAAAAGGTGTCATCATTTATTACCTTGTTATTCCACGTTCTTATGTAGCCAACAAGACTGATTTGCATCTTCTGCTTCTGTTTCAGGTCACTGTTTGAATCAACAAGATAAACACGCTGCAAAATGAGCCCCATGTATTCTCCATTAGTGACCTTCATCAATGTGGTCCAGAAGGATGTAATACATAGTCTAAGAAAGGATTGCAGAAAAAAAGTGTAGTTCTAAAAACTATGAGCTTCCATTCAAATATACAAATTATGATGTGTACCAAAATTATAAATTTGTTATGTGCTCTAACACTAGAACTCAAGAAATTTTGTCTAGACTCAACAACACAAGAGTACTAAATGGTGCATC